AAGATTCACCTTGATTTCACAAACAGAGTAGTTTTATGGAATCCTTTTATTGATTATTCCCATATTAATTTGCCTGATTGCAAAATAAGTGCATTCTTCTATTACAATCTCTCATCTTCTTAAAAGAAAAATGACCTTGTTACTTCTGATACTGCAGCTTGTTGGGCAAAACTTAATCCTGTCGCTACAAACATAATCCCATGAACCCTCTTCTAACCGATAACACTTTTTACTATCTGAACGCCTGTGGGAGCTTTTGATTTGGTGTCTGACAGGCTTCCAGGTCCTCTTAATCTTCAGATAATGAGTAATCTGAAAAAGAGAGGGATATAGTTTCTCTGGTTTATAGCTTTCATCTTTCATGGTAATAAGATTGTCACTCAATACTCTTTCAATTGTTTAACAGCTTTTGAAAAACTCATTTAATCTAATTTCAAGACAGAAGAGCACAGTTTAGCTCCCAATATCATCACAAATGAAACACCCATCAGAAGGTCAGCAAAGAATTAAGAAATAAGACATATGTGCAACATATATGGAAATCACTAGGGAAAATATTGTGTTGGTATCCATTGCACTGCCTCCAATCTTCCAGGAACAATCCCCCCCACATTTCATTTACGTTTGACATAGATGTTGCTGTCCATTGACAAGCACTGTGACAGCCTGGCAGATGTTACAGGGACCTTGTCAGCTATGGATCAATACACCTGTGAGGTGGAAGGTTATTTGGAGGAAGTGGCAAAGGGAGTAACTGTCCTTGGCTTCAGAGGGAAAGAGCATCTGAGTTCATTGCTGAGGTTCACCAGTTAGTGGCACTCGTGAATTTTCAGGTGGCAAAAGCAGCCAAGTGTGCCATTTCCTTCTCTTATCAGGATGATTCACAACTGTTCTTTTCTCATGTGTCTCTCAGCTGATAGCAACCTATTCTTACAGAATTTATATTTCTTTCTCTTTCTCCTCATTAAAATTTCATCGTCTTCTCTATTCTCCATTACCTCTACGAAGACTATATAGATTTGGCACGTAAAAATGGTTTCCTACCATGAAGATTTTCTTCATAGCACAGTGACCTTATTTTCCTGTTTTCTTGATGAAACAGACACATGCTCTGTTTACCTTCTGCAAACCACTACATTTTTACCACACTGGGGAGTATAAGTACTACTTATAGTTCCAGTGAGCTCTATATGCATTTTAGTAAATTTTTTTTTAGTTCAGAGTGCATCTTACATCTCCTGCTTATTGGTATTTTTTCATTAGTATTAGTCACCCATAAATGGAAAGAGACAAATGAAATAGATGATGCCATTTGTATTTTTAGATAAACCCCAAGTTATAGGGAAACCTGTGATGGAACAGGCATTTTGTAATGTTACAGTAGTGTCTTAAATCTCTTTGGCATGTATAACACGCTGTCTTTCACTGAAAATTCTGAAAGACAGACATAAGAATGTCTGTGGATAATAGGTGTGGGAAAATAGTGAGATTAGGGGACTCAATTTCAAAACTAAGGATATTTGAGTTCATTTTTCTGGCTGTGGCAGAAATATGGTATTAAATAAATCCCTTGAAGTCATATTCAAGCTATGAGCCTAAATATTTCCTCTTCTATTTCTGAGTAACATTGGAAATTATTAAACTCTGGGCATCTTAGTTTTCTACACTGAAAGTTGTTTAGAGTTTCCCAGAGCTCACTGTTGATGTCACATCTTAAGAGGAGGTCTCCCTGTGAACCTGAAGTACCTGAGTCAGTAGACAGGCCTAGAAATTGTCTATAGAATTTTTATTTTTTTTTTGCAATATGCAGAGCAGTGACTGGTTTTTTGTAAAAACATTCCGCTGTTTTGGCCATGGTCTTGCTGCCAAATTCCTACCCCCTTTACATAGCAGCTAAAAGTTAGTGGTTTAGGGGTGATAGTGTCATCCCAATGGTAGTGCTGGGATGACAGTTGGCCTTGATTGTCTTAAAGGTCTCTTCCAACCTTAATGATTCTATGAAAAAGTCACCCTGGAAACAAGACTGCAATTCTCTCATGTTGAGGAGAGGTGTAAACTGAATGCATTTTGATCCAAATGTGAGCAGAAACACTGAGAGCAGGTTTGCAACAACTGTATAAACTGTGGATGTTCAGCCTACAGTGCCAGTCGTGAAATTCTCCTCTGACTGCTGACCTGCCATCATTCAGAACTGCAGGGGGTTACTGCCGCTAAGGAAAAATGTTCTTGTCCAGAGCTCCTCCTGGAGGTGTGTGCTTGCCAGCTTTCTTCCCAAAACAGCACAGATGTGACTATGACACCCTAGTCTAGCAGTGAGGCAGATTTGTGGTGACATGCAGGAAGGGTAGGTTTGTCTGGAGAGGGATGCTGTAGGTTGTTGTTGGGCATACCCCCAGAACTGCAGCTGCAGGGAGGCAGACTGCCTAATGCATACAGGGTGGTACTGCCAGAGAAACTGTTCCATAGGCTGCCTAGTAACTAGTTAAATAAAAAACTTCATATCACTAAAACAGAACTAGTGCTTTAACAAGAGATATTTATAGGGATGCTCGTAGCATTTAAGCCATTCTCTCACAGATGGCTTCTTGATGCCTCATTCAGGCTCACTCATCTTCCTCCAAACTCAAAGCAGCAACCTCTGGATAGGCAATTTCACATATTAGGTGTGTTTATTCTGTGTAAAGAGTATTCCAGGCTCCAACCAATGCCCATCCCCATGCTATTGAAAAAGAAATATTCTGGGACACATCTCAGGCTCTAGAGTTCATCCCAATTTCAGCGCATTGAAAGCTTTGGCCATGGGCAGACACACATCTGCAGTACTTACACAAAATTAACAAGAACGTGTCACTCCTTTGATGCCATGTGGGAGACAATGAATCTTAGGCCCTTTTCGTTCTTGAGGTAATAGCTGCAGAGGAGCCACATATTGGTTCTTAATGCTCAGAGCTGGTTCCCTTTTCTTCAATGTATTGTTAGCACTCATTAAATAATAAATAACTGCTATGTTGATGTCTCCTTAATGAACTGAGCCTATAGTCCCCCTGTGCAGTAGCTGTGCATGCACATCTCCATATGCATTATTAATGGTTATATTATGTAACTATATAATGGAGTGGCAAGGAGTCTCTGGGACTCTTGCCCGAGTGAGGATTTGAATGGAATATGAACAACAGTGTTTGGCCTTGTATGCATATAAGTAATTGATCAACAGCAGAGCAAAATCTTCTGTTTGCTAGATGAAGAAAGTTGGGCCTCTAACTGTCTGAGAGAGATTTCAAGAACATATGCCATACTTGCTTTCTTATGAAGCGCTTTTTTGTTTTTTTGCTTTGGATAAACACAAGCTGAATGCAGATAACTGCTACTGTGTTTTATAGCACCAAAGACTGGGCTAAAAATGCCCAGAGTGACGGGGTCACAGCTAAAAATCCCCCAGCGCCCAGGGAGACCCCAGCTGGTGTATGCATGTCTCATAGAACAGAGCAACACCTCTGCCTGCACATCGCTACTGACTCACTCATCAGGGGAGGGAGGCACAGTGTCAGGCTGCCCCAGCCACCTTCAGCAGACATGCTCAGTGCATTGCTGGGAGCCAGGCTGCACACACAGAGCACAGTTTGTTTTTCTGATATTGCTTGGAAGCATCTGCTTTCTCTTCTCTTTAATGTGCTGCCTCCTGGACTTTTCAGCCCCAAGCCCTGTATGAAACGTGCACATGCATAGGCAGGGCATGGGAGGGAGAAAAAGAGTGAGCTGCACTTAGTAAAGCATCAGAGGAAGAAAGGGAACCAAAGCTGAATTTGGGATGCCATGGAAGAGAGAGAGAAGGAGATACAAGATGCTGAAAGATGTGGCACATACAAGAAAGTGAATTAAAAGGGAGTGTGTGAAAAGGATAAAGAGAAACTGGAAGGAGAACACAGGGAGACTTGGAGAGAGCATAAAAAATGAGTGAATGGTGAGAAATGAATAACAGTGAGGAGAACAGCTGAGAAAAAGAGAAGACAGCTAATGGACTATTTCAGTATCTTTTAGGAAGAGCCTAGAGGGAAGTTTTTACAAGTAGAGTTTAAAAATTAAGTAATCAGAGCAGTAGTGGTTGCTGGTTTTGTGGGATGTTTTTAAGGAAGAAGAGAGCAATCTAGAGGGACTACACAGCATTTAGAAGTTTTCTAATTCTTGAGGATTCTAGCTTCTCTAGAGATTTTAGTCAATTTACTATATCAGTCATGGGCTGATTCGTAGTATCATTACCTCCAGAGTACTTTGTTTACTGCTCTACTTTTCCTATGGCAGAGATTAGTAGGCAGGTTTTTCTTTCAGGCAGTTATTGCTTTTTTTGGTCTGTTTTATTTTTAACAACAGATCCTTATTTTCTTGTAAGGGATTAGGAAAGTTTTTTGTAGCTGCAGTGCTGAGAATAAATATTTTGTGGATCCTTCAGAACTAAAGATCTGGTGTATTGAAACTGCAAGACACGACTTCATGGCTTGGCAGTTCCATTTAGTCCTGTGTTCCTGTGCTTCTGTAGAAGCCTGGTAGATTAATATTTAAGTTTTGAACATTTTTAAGCCTTCAACTAATGCCTCTTCAGCAAAGTCCTCTAGTATAAACTTTAAAAGCATGCCAAAGTTTCTTTGAAGTCAATAGAATTAGGAAAGCTCTGCAGAAAAGAGATAAAGGATTTGTTTTGTTGAAGTATTCAGGGATATAATTAATATAATTTTAAGTAAAAATTTTTTCATAGATACTGCTATTTGGAACAAAAGTGGCTGTAATCAGTTTAACAAAATAGTAACATCTAAATTGAAGCTTGAAGCTCTTTCATGCTGGAATAAAAGAATGCACATGAACAGTCCTCTGTTGTAATTCACCATTCCTTATTTTGGTACAAACCTGTGTTCTAAGCAGGCCTCTTCTAGTTTGCTGTGGGCACATTATTATGAACAAGGATAGCTTCTTACAGATGGACACAATATACTTTGTTTCCTTCACAGGTGAACATGATTTCAAATCGCAGGCATCAGTCTCAGAGAAGCCATATGATGTTGCCATGCTCAATATTACTTGAGGTAAGAAAATACTGTAGATACATTGCTACGTTCTTGAGTGTATTGTTTTAAGAAAATGCTCTCAACAGCTACCAGCATGTTTATGTTTATCTCAACATGCTCTGCTCTCTGCAGTTGGTGATCTTGGCAGCTGTGAATGAATTCCTGTCCCTGTACTGTGCTTTTTTCCCTCCAGTTCTTTCATAAGAGGGAATGCCTTCAATTTCGTTTTAAGTGATGTTGATGTTCTAAAGTGCCAGAATCCAGGGGAGTGAAGTACCTCTGAGGTGGACCCATACAGATATTGGTGATAAAATGTTTATAACAATACTCCATAAGTCTTGAATTCTTTTCATTCTTAAACCACCTGACTTTTGAGAGTAAGTATCATTATTTTAATTATAAAGTTAGGGAGAAATGGAACTGAAGTTCAAGATTTTGTTCAAGGTTGTTCAGTGTCGATTAGGAATATTTTGGAATAATGCGTATTGAGTAACTTAAGCACCATCTAAAACAGTTTGTGTTTCTTTTTCTTTTGTTTTTGCACTTCTTACTTAGGTACTATAAACAATTAATTTTCTTTACTCTGATATTTGTAGATCACATTTATAGCAAAAGTCAACCCAGTTATGTCTGCCCTGCAGTGGAGCTGGAGCTGTAGCATAGCACAGACGTAGATGTGTGTAGTTGGTTCTACTTCAGCCCCACCATGAACTCAGCAGAACTTGCCACCTGCAGGGATTTTGGAGTGCCTGGCTACTGTAACCATACCCCTGCTGTTAGTCTAATTGTGCTAAGCTAGGGTTAGATCCCTAGGGGTGTGGATAAGGACACTGCACAGACCAGCTGTGTGTGGCCAGAGGCACACTCATTGCACTGGAGCGCGTGGGAATGGCAGACCCAGTACCTGCAGTAAAGCTTGAGCTAGCAGTTAGGTGTAAGTGTATTACCCTGCAGTCACGCAAGGCCTGTGGTGTGGAAATGTCCCATTTCCAGCTAGATGCAAGCTTAGACCAAACTATAATGCAACAAATATTGTTATATAACAATGTATATCTTTCGGAACCCAATAAAATATTGGTGTGGAGGAGAATGCAACTCTTTGTAGGACAGGTTTTACACTGGCAATTCTGTTTAGGGTAGTTGTACCCATTTATATTGGCAGAGGCTTTGTTCTCATTTCTCTTAAAGCATTTCTACATCCAAAACATTTGGATCTTGAAAAAAAATCCAGCACCATTTTGCTTATCTTTTAATGCACGCTAATTATAATGAAAAATCCTGATGGTTCTTCCAGGGTTGCCAGCTGACTTGGTATGAAGGAGCCTGAGGGAGACGATTAAGCTGTATTTTCAGCACAATCTGACGTACATGTGCAGACTGGTGTCATTGGATTCTGTGGACTGCAGATCAAAGTAGAACATCTTCAGATAAACATTTCTTGGGCTGAGGGAGAGTGGGGGATTTGCATTCAATTTTCTGCTCAGCCACAGACTTCATGCACCATACTGAATGTGCCACTTGGGTCTTAGTGCAGAGGCAATTGGGCATTGTTATTCCTGGATTTCAGGCAATCTGTTTAGTAGCAGTTGTTCTGGGGGTTTCAGCAGTGCTTGGTATTGGACTTCAGAAGTAAAACTTAAGAAGCTTTAAGATTCCCCTGTGAATCTCATTCCTAGGCTCTGTGTCTCAGTACCTATCTCCTTACCTCATACTGGGGCTGGAAAACCAGTACTTTTATTCCTGTGGGATGCATAGATTTTTCTGTGATACATTTAGAGTTATCTGATAAATGGAGAGTGAGGGATGTCATAAATTGAGAGTGAAAATAGCAGCACATAAAGCAAAAGTTTTTTATGGTGTAAACATTATGACTTAAGTGACCTTTCCTGAAGAAATTTTAATCCTCCATGGAGTCTTTCTTCTTTGCCTTTTAAATAAAGTAAGGTGGGTTTTTTTTGTCAGAACATTTTGGAAGTTATTTCCACATGGATTGAAAATTGCTTCATTGTCTGGCATTATTTCTGTCACATAATTTCAGGATTAAAAGGTGTTCCAAATATTGTATAATTTCTAATTCCTTCTTTAAAGCAACTGGGTAAGAAAAGTATGCAATATGTAAGCACCTGATTTTAGGTATTTGAGTGATTAAAAGATCTGTGAGCTTTCTCAGCCTTCCTCTAGAAGCCTTGTTATATGTTCCTCACTTCTCTAGCAGAAGAAATTAGTCCACTCACATACGTAAAAAGCATGATAAGCCAACAATTGTGCTTACAGCTGGACTGCAGCTTGTGAGCAAAAGAAGTTACCGGGTTTGGGTTCAGTACTTGCAGACACAGAACCACCAGATCAAGTCCTCCCTACTGTTAAAAGGCAATAGCAGCCAGTGGCAGTAGTGGTCACTCATTTGGGGTGATTGCCTGGAGTGACCTCAAGTGTCTGCAAAGATAATAGGATTGGGCTATCTGTCAGAGAAACTGTTTATTTGCAAAGGCACAGTAGTAACTAAGTGGCTACTAAGTGTGTGGCTTTTTCAACCTTTGTTTCAAGAATTTATTTTGCATGGAACAGAGTAAAAATCTGCTTTCCTGAAGATCTGTTAGCCTTTATTGTCTTAACTCTTAGAATATTTGAGCAGGTATAAATGGGATACAGGGTATGACACAGGACTGTACACAAGTCCTAGCTTGTTTCTCAGACAAGTGTGTCTGAGCTCCTCATGCCACTGATGTCCTGGCAGCACTTTCTCCTGAACTCTACAGCAGTGGGTAAACAGCCCTCAGCTGAGGCTTGGCCTGGCACTCCTGGCTGGAGCTGAGCAGGGGCAGCATTGTGAAAGCTCAATGATGGTCAGTAAGTACCTTAGCCCAGGAAGGAGATGTGAATGTGCTTGTTGGCAGTTACAGCAAGGAATAGTTACATACATGTTAGTCAGGTTCTATTTCATGCTCTTCAGAAAAATAATACCTTTTCATGAGTAGCCTGCAGGTTAGGAGTAAAAGAAAATGCAGAGATCAGAGTGATTTACATTAGAGGAATACTAAGTGTAGTTTCTCTCTTGCAACAAGGCAGAATAAGGTTTTCTGCACTTTTTGGAGATTGCTCCCAAGCATAGGCTCAACTTTGCTAAGCAATGATATCAGAAAACGTAGATCTGGTTTCTATGCTCTTGGACTTTTTAACACGAGCGATCTTTTTACTTAATTAATTTCTAACCTTGGGAGAGAATTCTTTCACTGATAAGAGAAGCAGAGTCTCTGTATACTTGATTTTTCTCATAATACTAAACTTTATACCTATCAGAATGTCAGCTTTTCTCTATTGAACAGTCTTATGAACTACTACTGTCAATGTTCCCAAAAATTTTCAATTCACAAATGATAGAAAAGATGCACCTGGCTGTTCTGTCATCTGTTTCAGATACTTTCATTATTCTAATTCAAAGAGATGAACCTCTTTTAATCTGTTGATCCTAGTGGGTAGAACTAGAAGTTCACATCTCTTTATTCAAGCTGGAGGAAAAAATGTAAATTCTGCAAGACTTTGCAAGCTTAAATCTGAAATGTGCAAACATCTGTTACATTCTATTGCTGTTAAAAGCTTCTGCTGGTTCAAGGCATCATTTATGCAGTCTCTTTTATATTTGTGTTCTGTATCAGACATCAAATTCTAATGGCATGTTGCTGCACTTGTTTATTTATTGTCTTAATAGTACCTTTCTTATTCAAGAAGTTAGTGTAAACATCAGATTTTTAGATTTACCTCCTCAAAGCCATAAAATGTCTTAAGTTAGTTTCTCCAACTATGAGACTATGAGACTACCAACTCATGAAGCTGTTATGACAGACCATAAATTTAGATTCTAAAGGCCAATTCTTGTCCATAGGTATTGTTCAATTTTCCTTTGACCTGACTTTTCCCTGCCCTGTCCATTGTTATGCAAAACCTGATATATTACTGCTTTCTCTGAGATGTTTTAACTATTTGTTGAGAAGTTAAATATCTTTTCTAACATATATGCTGAAAACAGAGTCCAGGTAATAGCTGTGAGGTAATATTTGCTACCTCTCTTTAAGGGAAATACTTGGGACAAGGCAGTTAGCTGTCTAACTGCCTGCTGGACTCAGTCTGAACTACCGTAAATCTAATGATCTAATCTTGTAACTTATTAGTATCAACAGGTGCAAAATTTTGCTAATCTTTCACTTCTGCAATTTTAAGCGTAGGCATTCTCATTCAAAATTAACCAAGTGTATTACTATCATTTAGTAATTTAAACAATCTACACTATCAGAGTTTTTCTGGTTTTCTCTTTTTTTTTCCACTTATGCATATAAATATACACACGGCAGGTATAACTCTTTCACCTGTTCTTAACTTTTGGAATTAGACTATTATTAACTATTATTAACTCTGGCAGTGGGCAGATGCTTTAATACATGTACCTGTGAGAATATTGTCTTCTGTGTGCTTCAGCTACTTCACAGTTACATTCATCAACTACCTATCTATCTACCTAAATTTTGTGGAAAAATTACTTTAATGTGCAAGGGACTTCTGACTTCTTAGCATAGAGCTCTGAACTGTGCTTAACTACACTGAGAGGCTTTGTCCTTTTTAGGGTTTTTCTGGGATATGTTTTGTTACAATACAGTGATATCTTTTTTTCATGCTTCTCAGGAGACCCTGGCTGATGTTTCTTTCTGCCTTGGTTATGTACTCTGCAGAGCTCTTTATGCAATTTATTCTCCATTGAATTGCGAGCTTTTTTATAGCTGAGAATCAAGATGACTCAGACAATTCAGAGCTGATTCAACAGCAGGAGGTCAATCTTAGTTTCTCCTTTACCCTTTGAGTTCTAAGGATTTATTTTCTGCCTAAGAAGGACATTATTTATAATCTCTCTTTTGTGTAATTTTCTCAGCCTACTCTGCTTTTTTTTTTTTTTTTTTTTTTTCTCCTGTTTCCAGTATCTAAGTGGCTTGTCAACAGTTTTAAAACTTGGGTAAGGCATTTAGCAT